ATCGTAACAAGAACCCTTACACCATAAGGTGCCGAAACTAACCCAGTAGCCGCAAGTGATGCATCAGAAAATGATCAATACTAGGGTTGTCGAACCGGTCTTATTTTTGTAACCGGTTACTCTTCTACCGATCGAGTGACCGGTTAATCGGTCAATTTGGTAGCCAAATAATAAACAGCAACAAATACATTATATGTTTGGAAAACGTTCTATCTAAAACGTATTTACACCACAAACATACATGTATGTATTAATTAGCATGAGAGTTTACTCGTGTATTTCAAGGTTAACACAGGAAATAGTTCCATGTAACCTCAGTAAGTATATTTTATGGACAATGAAACTCGGAATGCAGTAAGACGGATTCATTTACACTTATCTGTACTCGAAATTTGCAGTAATATCGTTATTTAGAACAAAATTAGCTTGACAAACGTTTTAAGACATGCTTGCCCATTCAAGTGTGTACTCTTCAGATTAACTTTTCATCTCGCTTGTAAAGGCACGTTCTATCTCAGAAAGTTGATATTTCTCAGCTTTGTATTCTGACTTCCTTTTAAAAACTGTTCAGATTTTTTTATGGTGTTTGCGTCATCTCTTTTCAGTATTTAAATTAGAGTACAAAATGAACACTAACATGTACTTCATGAACACTGTTCTTATTACAAAACTATCCAATTTTGGTCGCATCTATACAAATGCAGATAGTTTGTAGGTCTAAGCCAGGGAAACATGGGGCTCCCAAAAGGGGTAAGTAAATGTCCGACGTTTCGGTTAAGCAAATTTAGCTAAGTTCCCCTTCAGGGCCCCGCTACCCTGGCCTCAGAGGTCGAACTAGCCTCGTTTATTTAAGAAATGATTGCCCTCCCCTAGTGATGCTTCAGATTAAATTTGGTTGAAATCCTCTCTAGCGTTAAGCAGGAGATGCGTTTTAAAGCAAATTTAGCTAAGTTCCCCTTCAGGGCTCCGCCCCCCTGGCCTCAATGATTGCCTTCCCCTAGTGATGCTTCAGACTAAATTTGGTTGAAATCCTCTTTGGCGTTTAGGAGGAGATAGGTTTTAAAGAAAAAGTTGACGACGGACGACGGACGGCAGACGCTGCGCCACGGTATAAGCTCACCAGGTGAGCTAAAAATGTCTCGATAATTGCAACCAGATACATGCATGTTAATCTAGAAATTACCAGCTGTTTTCATTGGTGAAAAGACAACCATGCTCAAGAGTGGTAAATTACTCTTAAAATATTGTTTTACTTGCATATCAATACACAGTACATGACACTTAGGTTTAATACATATCTAGAGACAGATTTATTAAGTTACGTACCAAACTAATACTTTTTTTCTTCAAAACTGAAAACTTACTTGTTTACATCATGATTATATTTAAAAGCATATGTATGTATTTCTGGTGTTTCGAAATGTTATTTACCTTCCTAAAACATTTTTAATCAATTACTGTACAATGAATCAAGAAATACTCGCTTTCAAAATGAATTTTGTGTTACTGAAAATAATATGATAAACCAGGACACCATCTTATAAGGTATACATTTCAGGCATGGTAATATCAATAGCAGATTTTTTGTCCAAGAAACATGAGTTTATTAAACCACAGCAGAGACAAATATATTCATATTACATGTACATGTATTTTTTTTATTTTTTTTATATTGTTTTATTTTTTCAAGTTTTTTGTTACATCTACATCAAACAGACATTACACACAAACTCTCACTTGTAGACAGAAGCATGCGTTTCTCAATCATAGTCATTTATACACGTCATCATCCTCATCCTCATCCTCATCATCATCATCATCGTTATCATCATCATCATCATCATCGCACATACACATTGACAATCATCATCATCATCATCATTGTACATATACATTGACAATCATCATCATCATCATCATCATCATCATCATCGTCGTCGTTGTCCATACACATTGACAATCAACTTTATCATCATCATCTTATCATCATCATCATCATCATCATAATTGTCGTCATCTATACACACTGACAATAATCATCATCATCATCATCATCATCATCATCATCATCATCATCATCATCATCATCATTATCATCATCATCATCATCATCATCATCATCGTCCATAATTACAAACATCATGATAGATAATCTAGCACACCCATGCTTCATCTAAAACAACATACTTCACATAGTACATGTATATCATTTATATACTAGAACATACACTCAATCTTACACACACACACACACACACACACACACCATAGACAAAATAGAATCACAGGGTCTAGAGAAGAAGCAAAAATATATAAAAGGGAGAGGGGAGAAAGAAAGAAAATTAGGAGAGAGAGAGAGAGAGAGAGAGAGAGAGAGAGAGAGAGAGAGAGAGA